CTCTGGACACAACACCCCAAAATAGGTCTCTAGGAGATGAGCATAAGCCACCCCCAAATAGACTTCATCTGCCCTGATTGGAGCTGGTGTGGGGAGCTCCCACAGCCGACCTTTTGTAAAAGTGTACCCCAGTGAGGCTGGTACCCGGGCCGGCCTGCCGCGCCCCCGGCCCCGGCCCCCGGCCCGGTTCCCTCCACGGCTCAGGACGCTATCTATAGTCATCTGACTCTTCGAAGCCCTATTTCCTGAGTTTCCCATAGGAATGTAGGCCATTACATCTAGTTCTTTTTTTTCCCCCCTTTCTTTCTTTTCAGCTCCTTTCCGTGTCAAACTCCTAGCGCAGCCGGAGAACCCAGATGGGGAGGGAAGCCCCTCCCCCGCTCCCATAAGGCCCGAGGGCTGGCTGGTCCCCTGTGGGACCTTTATGCCCTAAGAGGACACAGACCCCTCCCCCCTCTTTTCCCCTCCCCCCCCTGCTGATACTAGGGGTGAATACTTGGGGACTGGCTCTTGCTAGATTTGCTTGCTTAGTTGGTGCTCTACCCCTTGAGCCATGCCTCCATCCCTGAACCCTACTTTTGATTTGGCAGGGGAAGCTTGGCTCTGGGGCACTGATCCTTGGTCCAAGGAGACCCTAGCTTAGTGAATAATTGCTGGGTCACTGGTGGTCTACCACATTCCCCCTCAATTAGAAGTTAGGATCCCCCCCTCCCCAGGTGTGTGGCCCCAGGGTGGGCAATGCGGAAGACTCCCCGGGACTTACACACAGCCATCCCCTGGCTGGCCCACGCCGGGAAGTGGCCCCTTCCTGCTTAGAGCTGCACAGTTAGATTCTCATGGAAAAATGTATTCAGACCTCCAGAGTAGCTGACTCGGGGCTTCTATCTCATCTCTCCGTGCCTTCAAAGCCTCTTCATTCATTCATTCATTCATTCATTCACTCAAAACAATGAGTGAATGTTCATTTGGTACCTACCATTCCTTTTGCTTCAGGTCTCAGTAGCAAGTTCGAGACAAAAGTCCTGGTCCTTAGCTGGGAATGTGGCTTAGTGGTTGAATGCTTGCTTACCATGCATGAAGCCCTGGGTTCAATTCCTCAGTACCACATACACAGACAAAGCTGGAAGTGGTGCTGTGGCTCAAGTGGTCGACTGCTAGCCTTGAGCACAGAAAGACTCAGGCACAGAGCCTAAGCCTTGAGTTCAAGCCTCAGGACTGGCAAAAACAAAAAGTCCTGGTCCTGAGCTCTTGTCCACAGCCCCCTCCCTGCGGCCCACCCCTGCAGGGCCTGCGTCAGTGTCTGCACTTCCACGGGAGGGCTTTGAAGGATCTCCTCAAAGATTCGAAGGTACCCACGTTCCTGGGTTACTTGGTGCCATGGAGTAGTGTCTGCCACAGAACACATGCCATTCCTAATGGAGGCCCAGCGGCCGGGACCCTGGAGTCAGGAGCAGGGCTTGAGGTGGAGAAGGGCCTAGGACCTGACCCTGTGTTGGAGCCCTGGCTCCAAAGGTCTTCTGTTTTGGCTTGGGATAGTTGCTAAGGCAAGAGACAGGCATCAGGCATCGAGTGATGGATCTTTCAAGCTGAGCTGGGTGGTAGGTCTAGGTCTGTTGGCATGGCTGCCTGATTACTGGATTTGGATTTGGGTCTCTGGGTAAATTGTTGGTCCTGCCAGGCATGTAGATAGATGTAGGATAGCAAGACCTACTCCACAGGCTTGTTTCGAGGGTTAGATGAGATAGTAAGCGTGCAATTAACATTAGCTACCTTAAGAGGTGTTCTTGGGTGGTAGGAGGAGGTGATGATGTTTGACTCCTTCATTTTATGTAACAAGTATTTAGGAAGTTGCTGCCATGTGTTGGACATTGTACTTGGTAATGGAGATATCAGCCGGCAGCACAAAAACCCGACACACACTCCCACACAGCCCATGTGCTCTGTCTGAGTTCCCCAATGGAAGCCCTCTCTGGGATAGCACAGTCTTCAAGGATAAAGTCAGGGTTGGGTCAGCTAAGGGCTGGGTCTGAGCCCCAGTTGAGTGCAAGGCTTGAGGTGTGCCCACTGGTGGGGGCTGGGCCACCGCAGACAGCCAGAGTCAGGGCGCAGGGCTGCGCCAGATTTGCGGGGGGCCTCTTCAGCAGGTTAAGGAGCCCCAGAGCCATGTGGGATTTTTTTTGGGGGGGGGGTGGACTGGGGAGAGGGATATAGCTTTGGAACGTGTAGAGAGGAGGGTTTTTCTCCTCCAGGACTTTTCCAGAATTGAGACTAGGCATTTGCCAGGAAGGCCAGTGCTTGGGCAGCCAGCCAGTTGCATAGGAGAGAAACCAAGGCCCTGATCCCACAAAAAGGTATATAGGGAAGGCCTCAGTGATGGGTAGAGGCCCATATCTGCTATTATTATTATTGCTGGGGATTGAAGCTAGGACCTCATATATGCTAGGCAAGCAGTCTATGTAAGGGCCAGGCCTCCCTGAGGGATAGGGCTGGGTGAGAGTCATAGCTATCTTGTACTTTGCGTCTGGGGCCTTGTGCCCTGCCTAAGTGCCAGTCAGGCTCCCTCACACGCATCGCTGAGTTCCCTAGAGGCCAAGGGACCCTGTGGATTTCCTTTTTGTTCTTTCATCTCTCCTAGAGCCAAATGGAACTTTCCAGGCTTCTAAAAAGATCTCCGTTACCCAGCTGTTCATAAGGGGCAGAGATGGGTGGGGAGAGGAGTGGGGGGAACACTGCAGTATCTTGCTTGGAGGGGGTGGGGGAGTTAGTTTAACCAGTGTTCACCCGTTACTCATTCAACAAACATTTATGCAGTGTTCCCTAAGTACTAGGAAGAGTGTAGAGTTTGGGGGTTACGGGAAGGGGGGGACAAATGTAGGTCTTACTGTGACCTCTGTGGAGGAGATGTAAATAAATGGCGGGGTGGCTTTTGTGTCACTTGGTCTTGGAATCAGTCTACGCTGGGGCTGATGGTCCCTGGCATAGACTGAGACTGAGACGCACAGGGTGGCGTCTTTGCTGAGGCCCACTGTTAGGCAGGGAGGTAGCCCTTGAGGGAGTCAAGGGTCCTGGCCACACGTGGCTTAAGGAGGTCTGGAGCTGCTATGATTCTGTAGACTCCACATTGCCCTCCCTCTGTCCAGGGTCCATGGGATGCACAAGAGCCTGGCAAGTGCTGGGGTGGGGAGGGGGGTGTGCTCTCCTGCTCTGAGTCTCTAGGAGGCCTGGGAATCGGGGTCCTTGTTCTTTGCAGTTTGCATATGGGGAAATAGAGGCTGGAGAAGGTCCAACCATAGTCACACAGCCCAGCTTGGGACAGCAGGCCTGGAATCCAGGAGGCTGTCCTTGTCTGGCATTCACCTGTCTGTCTGGGCTGCAGTTTTTCACCATAGAAGGAAGCGAATGCCTGTGTGCTTAGGAGGCTGTAGCTGGGCTGCTCTCGGCCCCACTGCAGGGAGGGTGAAGGAGGCTAAATAAAGCAGCAGGCCTGCCAGCTGCCCCTCACCACAGCAGGTACTGTGAAAACCCCGCCACTGATCCCTTCACGGAAGCTGGTCCCAAGGGGTTCCCAGGAGTAACCCAACTGCACAGGAGGACGGACCAGAAGTTCAGACTTCGATTCATTAAGAAAAAAACCACTCGCTGGTGGCTCACGCCTGTCATCCTAGCTACTCAGGAGGCTGAGATCTGAGGATCGAGGTGCAAAGCCAGCCCGGGCAGGAAAGGTCATGAAACTCTTACCTCCAATAAACCACCAGAAAACCAGAAGTGACACTGTGGCCCAAGTGGTAGAGTGCTAGCCTTGAGTTGAAGAGCTGAGGGACAGTGCTCAGAGTTCAGGCCCCATGACCAACCAAAAAAAAAAAAGAAAGAAAGAAAAGGAAAGGAAAAAACCACTTGTCCTGAGGCTGGGCTGGGCTGGGGGGTGCACTCAGAGTTGCTGTGGTTTATGGGAGTGTGACTGTCAGAAGTATAGAAACCCAGGCCTGGTTGGCTTCCTCTCTCTCAGCCTCAGTTTCCCCATTTGTAGAATGAGTAAAAAACCTGCCAAATAGAATTTTTCTGAAAATACAGGCTCAGCCCTGGGCTGAGTGTGACACCAGTGGTCCACAGGTGGAACTCCTGGCCTTGGTTGCGTCATTGCAATTGACCAGGATATGGTCACTAGAGGAAGAGTCCGGAAGGGAAGGGAAGGGATCTGACACCACTCCCCAGCTTCTAGGTGATGTCTTGTCCTCTGGGGCTTGGGAGGCAGCGAGCTCACTCTTCTGTTCTAGCTCTATTAGCATGGGCTTGCTGCCTCAGTTTTCTCTCCAGGAACCTCAGCTCTGCTGAGCTGAATCTGACACTGGCCAGGAAAAGGCCAACTGCTGCCTTCTGTCTTCAACTTCTACCTGTCACCTCCTTTCTTTTTCCTTCTTTTATTTTTTATTTTTCTGATCCGGGGCTTGAACAACTTGCTGTTGCTGAGCTTTTTTGCTCAAAGCTAGTACTCTGCCACTTGAGCCACAGCTCTACTTCTGGCTTTTTTGAGTGGTTAATTGAAGAGAAAAGGTCACACAGACTTTCCTTTCCCCAGGCTGGCCTCAAACCACCATCCTCAGATCTCAGCCTCCTGAGTAGCTAGGATTACAGGCGTGAGCAGCTGGCACCTAGCAATCATTTCCTTTTTTTTTGATCTCTTCCTCCCTGCTTCTTGCAGAGACTTTGACTCACTTTCCAAGGACAATGTCTTCGAGAATAACCGTTTGGTGAGTTCCCAGACAGAATCAAGCTCCTGAGACTGTGTGCATGCCCACGCACCTGTGTTTGGGGGACAGGGGACTTGCATGGCCTTGCATGTGGAAGGCTCTTCCTGCCCTTTCTCCTCCCCTCCTTCCCTCCTCCCGCTTCCAAAGGCTCTCCTTTCTCCAGGCCATCTGTGGGGCTTTGGTGGTACTAAAGCTGAGGGGAGCCCCTGTCACCTCATCCCAGCCCAGCCTCGCTGGGAGGTGGCCATTCACACAGCCTCCCCTGTGTTTTCCTCTCCCTGCCATGACTGTACCTGCCCCCACCCCAACACCTGCCCCACCCCAGGCTTTTGAAGTGGCGGAGAAGGAGCTGGGGATCCCTGCCCTCCTGGACCCCAGTGACATGGTCTCCATGCGCGTCCCCGACTGCCTCAGCATCATGACCTACGTGTCCCAGTACTATAACCACTTCACCAGCCCTGGCCAAGGTGAGGGGGACCCAGCCCTGCCGTGCCCGCGCGCACGCGCAAGGCTGCCAACACACAGCCGGGAAGGCAGCCCATCCTTCATTCGCTTGTTCAGATATTCATTAAGACAGCACTTGCAGGGCTGGGGGTCACAGCCAGGGGCATGATCGCTGCTCACTGTCCAGGGTGGGGGCCATCAAACACAGAAACCAGAAAATGGACACAATGAAGTCAGGAGGTAAGGCAGGGTGAGCTTATCCGCTCTGAGTTCACCTCCCTGCACTTCCTATGGGGAGACACTTCCCTGAGCGTTTTCTTCCCGAAGATCATGGCCCCTTCCATGGGCTGTTTTCACCTCAAAGCCTGCAAACCAAGTGCCTGGGGAACACAGAGAGTGGGGTTCGGTGTCAGGCTGCTTCTGCTTGTGAGGCTGCTGGTTGTCCCTGGGCAGAACCCTCTCCTGGGGCAGCTGGGCCTCCCTTTCTTAAAGGGTAAAAGTGGGCCCAGAGAGGGAAGCAAGGCACTTAAGAACACACAGCAGAGAATTTGGGCAGGGTGAGCTAGGATATTCTTAAATGAGACCTGCTGCCTGAGGGTTCCAGATTTCACTTTTTCCCTTCTCCTTCCTGCCTATATTCTCTATGTGGACCATGCTAGCCCAACTTTCTTCTTTTCTTTTTTGCCAGTCCTGGGGCTTGAACTCAGGCCCTGGGCACTGTTCCTGAGCTTCTTTTGCTCAAGGCTAGCACTCTACCACTTGAGCCCACAGCGCCACTTCCTGCTTTTTCTGTCTATGTGGTGCTGAGGAATAGAACCCAGGGCTTCATGCATGCTAGGCAAGCACTCTACCACTGAGCCACATTCCCAGCTCCCTCTGCTCTCCTCTGCTCTTCTCTGCATTCCTCTGCATTCCCCCTTTTTCCCCTCCCCTCCTTTCCCTTCTCCTTTCCTCTCCTCTCTTCTTCCTTTGTGCCAGTACTGGGCTAGAACTCAGGGCCTTGGCACTGCCCCTTAGTGGTTTTGCTCAAGACTAGTACTCTACTAATTCAGACACACCTCTATTTCAGCTTTTGTGTGTGTGTGTGTGTGTGTGTGTGTGTAGTTAACTGGAGATACACTCTCACACTTTGCTGCTTGAGCTGGCTTTGAATGGTGAGCCTCAAATCTCAGCCTCTTGAGTAGCTAGGATTATTATAGGTGTGAGCCTCTAGCATTGAACTAAGCTACTGCTTCAAACCACCCATCCTCAGATCTCAGATGTGTGACAAGGGAGGGCTTCTGAGAAGATGCTGTTTGGACTGAGTCTTTGGACAAGGATGGGGAGGGGCCACCCAGGCAGCCTTGAGAAGATCTGAGATAGAATGTTGCAGGCTAGGGGTGGTAGGGGTTGTGTGCTGCTGAGGAGAAGAGATGAGGAAGCGGGAGGGGGTGTTGTTCCAGTGGGAAAATCTTGTAGGGACTTGCCTAGACTGCTGGGATTTCTAGCATGACTCACAGTGAGAAATACATTTCCTGTTCCACTCCAAGAACTCACACACTTCTTCCCCATACAGCACGTAACATATGCCACACTGCAGATAACTGCACTTCTGTTTGATTTGTTTATTTTTATGCTAGTACAAGGGCTTAAATTCAGGGCTTCACTTTCTTTGGCTTTTTTTCACTAGTGCCTGGCATTCCGTCACGTGAGCCACGCCTCCACTTACTGGTTGATTGGAGATAAGAGTCTCAGGGACTTTCTGTCTGAGATTTGAACCACCATCTTCAGATCTCAGCCTCCTGAATAGCTAGAATTACAGGTGTGAGCCACCAGTACCTAGGTTTTGTTTTGGTTCAGTTTTTTGTTTTTGCCAATCCTGGGGCTTGAACTCAGGGCCAGGGCACAGTCCATGAGTTTCTTTTGCTCAAGACTAGCACTCTACCACTTGAGCCACAGTGCTACTTCTGGCTTTTTCTGTTTTATGTGATACTGAGGTATTGAAGGTATTGTGGTACTTTTTCTGTTTATGTGGTACTGAGGAATTGAACCCAGAGCTTCAAGCATGCTAGGCAAACACTCTACCACTAAGCCACCTTCCCAGTCCTGGATTTTTTTGTCTTGTGTAAGCGTGAGTTAGCATCCACTGAATGATTTCAGGCTCTATGAGTAGACTGAAATGAAGTCTGGTTCTTTTTTTTTTGGGGGGGGGGGTCATGGAGCTTGAACTCTGGGCCTGGGCGCTGTCCCTCAGCTCTTCAGCTTAAGGCGAGCACTCTACCACTAGAGCCACAGCACCACTTCTGGTTTTCTGGTAATTTTTTTTTTTAATTGGAGATAAGAGTTTCATGGACTTTGCTGCCCGGGCTGGCTTTGAACCTCGATCGCCACCAGCTCCTGGCTCTGGAGTCTGGTTCTTGCTAGAGTACATGAAGTCTGGTTCTTGCTAGAGTAGATCACAGTGAGGAACTTCGCTTGTTTTACAATGAGCTGGGTGGGAGTGCCATTCTCTGGAATTTGGAGTTTTGTTTTTGTTCTTGGGTGGAGAGCAAGTGCTTTGCTTTGTTTAATACTTGCTGAAGAGGAAGGTGATGGTCTGAGAGGAGCCCCGGGTGGGCTGGGGGGTGGGCTTTCTCTGATCAGGGCTACAGGCAGGGTTCTGGGCCACTCTGCTTACCTGGAACAGGTCATTTTCCCCAGCCTCCAGGTCAGCCTCCTGTGCTTTTCTTTCTTACCCCCTAACCTGGTGAGCGGATGCCGCTCACCCTGTGCATGCGGGAAACTGTCCTCTCCTGTGACATTGATGTTTATAATGACCCAGTGCAGTAGCGACTTCTGGCTTCCTTTCTGGAGGTTCAGCGGATTCAGTGACTTATCTTTAGAATGTGGTTTGAAAGTGAAGATGCCAGCCCTGGCACCAGTGGCTCATAACTGTAGTCCTAGCTACTCAGGAGGCTGAGATAGAAGGATCTCGATGTGAAGACAACAAGCCTGAGCAGGAAAAGGACCAAGAGCCTCTTATCTCCAATGAACCACCAAAAAGCCAGAAATGGAGCTGTGGCCCAGCCTTGAGCCAAAAGCTAAGGGTCAGTGTTCAGGCTCTGGGTTCAAGCTCCAGTACTGGCACCGACGTAAAATAAGAAAAAAGACAGTGAGGGTGTCCTCTGGTCTGTGAGGGGGAAGCCTGCTTTTTGCAGTGGCATCAGGTGTGCTGCCCAGGGGCCACGGCTGCAGACGGCGGGTTGGGACCTCCTGGGCTCTAGGATCTCTGACTGCCTCAGGACCTTTCCTGTCTCATGGCAGCTGGTGTCTCGCCACCCAGAAAGGACCTGCCATCCTCACCCTCTTCCCCACCAATGGCACCCACCGCTGTGGAACCAGAAGATGATGCTCAGGTAGGCAGATGCCCGGAGTGGAGAAGTTGGTTGGGGACGACTGTCTTTGTGGTAACTGTCATGGGAGGAAGTTGGATTGGGCAGTGTGTGTGTGTGTGTGTGTGTGTGTGTGTGTGTGTGGTGGCATGGGACAGGCTGCCACTTGCATGCCGTAGGCTGAGTCCAGGGCTTTGGCAGCTCTGGGATGGGGAGGGAGGGCAGGCTGATTGGCCTTCTCCCCCTGCTTCTAGTTGAGGCAGAACTGCAGACCACTGAGCCCGGTTCTGTCTAGACCTCCTAGTAATCTGGAGGATGGGAGGTTGGGATCTGGGCCTAGCGTGAAGTGGAGGCCACCCTGCCAGCTCTAGAGAGCCAGGCACAGGGAGGCTGTGTGGGCTGGGGCCGCCAGCTGGGGGGCTTCGAGACCATCTAACAGGTCGGGGCCAGGGGCGGCCATGTGCTTCAGATGCCACAGCTGGGGTTCAACTGCAGCTCTGGAAGAGCAGCGGGGGGGGGGGGGAGGGACGAGCACAGGTGAGGGGAGCCAGGAGGAATGAGCCCCACAGGGACTGTCTGGTGGCCACCGCAAAGGAGGAGCCACTGGGAGTGACCATAGCCTTTCTTAAGGGCAGAGACCTGTCCCCCCCCCAAGGGGTGTGTGTGTGCGCATGCATGCAGACCTGCCCCCCCCAGGGATGTGTGTGTGTGCATGCATGCAGACCTGCCCCCCCAGGGGTGTGTGTGTGCGCATGCATGCAGACCTGCCCCCCCCAGGGGTGTGTGTGTGTGCATGCATGCAGACCTGCCCCCCCCAGGGGTGTGTGTGTGTGCATGCATGCAGACCTCCCCCCCCCAGGGGTGTGTGTGTGCGCATGCACACACACCAGTCCTGGGCTCTGGCCCTAAGCTTCTTTTTGCACTTGAACCTCATCTCTACTTCCAACTTTTTGGAAGTTCATTAAAGATAAGAGTCTCATAGGCTTATCTGCCCAGGTTGGATTTGAACTATGATCCTCAGATCTCAGCCTCCTGAGTAGCTAGGATTAGAAGTGTGAGTCACCAGGTCCAGCTTAGAAAGTCTGGTTTTTGTTTTTGTTTTGCTTGTCATGGGGCTTGAACTTGGGGCCTGGGCGCTGTCCCTGAGTTCTTTTGCTCAAGGCTAGCACTCTACCATTTGAGCCACAGCACCACTTCCGGTTTTTTCTATTTATGTGGTGCTGAGGATCGAACCCAGGGTCTCATGCATGTGAGGCAAGCACTGTACCACTGAGCCACCTTCCCAGCCCGCGTTCTACCATTTTGAGTCACAGCTCCACTTCTGGTGTTTGAGTGGTTAATTATAGATACATGTCTCATGGGGACTTTTCTGCCTCGGCTGGCTTTAAGCTGTGATCCTCAGATCTCAGCCTCCTGAATAGTTGGGATTACAGGTGTGTGCCACTGGTGCTTGGCTTAGAAGTCTGTTTTTTTGTTCTTTGTTTTTGTTTCTATCCTGACTCAGGGAGTCTAGATGGAGTCTTACTCATTTCTGGGTTCTGGCTTCCTCTGGAACTTGGTGACAGCCTCCTGACCTCTGACTCTCTGATCTTTTCACGTGTGCATAAGGGGGAGGTAGGTTAGAGAGCACAGCTGGTGACCTCCCCCCACCCCCATCCCTCTGCAGGGTGAGGAGCTCTCCGGCAGCTTGGCGGAGCAGGGCCTCCACCGGGTCCCCAGCAGCACATGCATGGCCTGCGGGAAGCATGTGCACCTGGTGCAGCGGTACCTGGCAGAGGGCAGGCTCTACCACCGCCACTGCTTCCGGTGAGTGGGGGTGGGGTGGAAGCCGTGGGGAGGTGGGGGTGGAGGAGGTGGGGCTGACAGGATGGCAGAAGCAGGGAGGGAGATTGCCTGGTCGGGCACCTGCCGTGTGCCAGCTTTCGCCGTGTCAGAACACCTGGCTCCTTGCTTTACTGTGGGGCAAACTAAGGCTTGGTAAGGGGGAAAAAAACCTGCTCCTGAATTTTTGTGCCTGTGTGTGCCAGTACTGGGGCTTGAACTCGGGATCTCAGACTCTCACTTAGCTTTTTTGGCTCAAGGCTGGCACTCAACTTTTGGAGACACACCTCCACTTCCAGCTTTTTGCTGGTTCATTGAAGATAAGAGGGCATTTGTCTGCCTCTGTTGGCTTCACACGATAATCCTCAGATCTCAGCCTCCTGAGTAGCTAGGAGTACAGGCATGAGCCACCTGCACCCTGATCACGTAATTTAAAAAAAAAATTCTGGGCCTGGGAATGTGGCTTAGTGGTAGAGCGCTTGCCTAGCATGCATGCAGCCCCGGGTTTGATTCTTCAGCACCACATACACAGAAGTGGTGCTGTGGCTCAAGTGGTAGAGCACTAGCCTTGAGCTGAAGAGCTCAGGGACAGCACCCAGACCCAGAGTTCAAGCCCTGTGACCAATCAAAAAAAAAAAAATTCTGGTGATTGAATCCAGGTTCTGCACATGCTAGACAAGTTCTACCACTTCTAGCCCCCCATTTTTTTTGTGTCTGTACCAGTCCTTGGTTGAACTGAAGGCCTGATCTCTATCACTTCTTCTTTGTTCAAGGCTTCTTTTTGTTCAAGGCTAGCCCTCTACCACTTGAATTTTAGTGGAGATAATAGTCTTACAGACTTTTCTGCCTGAGCTGGCTTTGAGCCATGATCCTCAGATCTCAGTCACCTGAATAAGTAGGATTACAGTGTGAGCACCAGCATCCAGCCCAAATGTTTTATATTACCAGAAAAGAAAACTGATTATCAGTAGGACTGAGTTCAGTGTGTGCATGAGGGGAGGGAGGGGTGGGAGCTGGGCCTGGAGTCCCAGGCATCTGACTGCAGGGTTGAGATGTAGGGAAACAGGTTGAACTGGCCCCTAGGCAGCCGTTTAGCAACTTTTTACTGTGACTCTTAGTTTAAAGAAAATGCATTTGACATCTATTAGATGTAAATACCTGCAGTATATCCATAGATACACTACTGGAATAGGAATTACAAAACTTTATTTTATTGTGTTTCATTAAAAATCCAAATGAAGCCCGGCGCTGGAGACTCACACCTGTAATCCTAGCTACTCAGGAGGCTGAGATCTGAGGATCTTGGTTCAAAGCCAGCCAGGGCAGGAAAGTCTGTGACTCTTATCTCCAATTAACTACCAGAAAATTGGAAGTGACACTGTGGCTCAAGTGGTAGAGTGCTCACCGTGAGCTGAAGAGCTGAGGGATAGCGCTCAGGCCCAAGAGTTCAAGCCCCATAACCAACAACAAGCAACAACAACAATAACAACAAAATCCCAAACAAACCTGGGTTGGGGGTGTGGCTTAATGGTGGAGAGGTTGCCTAGCCTCCTGTGCACCCTGGGTTACATTTCCATCCCTATCACTGCAAAACCAACCAAAGCCAACAAAGCCAGCCTCTTATCTCCAGTTAACACCAGTAAAGCCAGAAGTGGTGTTGTCACCTAAATGGTAGAATGCTAGCCTTGAGCACAAAAGTTCAGGGGACCAGTGCCCAAGCCTTGAGTTTAAGCCCCCCCGAACTGGCATCAAAACCAAACAAAACAGGGCTGGGAAGGTGGCTCAGTGGTAGAGCGCTTGCCTTGCATGCATGAGGCCCTGGGTTCAATTCCTCAGTACCACATAAGCAGAAAAAGCTGGAAGTGGCGTTGTGCCTCAAGTGGTAGAGTGCTAACCTTGAGCTGAAGAGCTGAGGGACAGTGCTCAGGCCCAGAGTTCAGGCCGCACGACCGTCAGAAAAAAAAAAAATTGAGATCTGAGGGTCACTGTTGGAAGCCAGCCTGCACAAATATAGGTGAGATTCTTATCTCCACTTAATCAGCAAAAAGCTAGAACTGGAGGAACAGCTCAAGTGGCAGAATTCCAGCCACAAGCAAGAAAGCTGGGAGTGTGGGGCTTCTGAGTTCAAGCCCCATTACTGTCTCTTGTACACAAACACCCCCCCCAAAAAAAGGAAAAAACAAACAAAATACACAAATATGGTTGGTTGAAAACTGCCAAATGAATTTCCTGTAGCAGTATCTGGTGGCAGCCCCGCCAAGAGAGCTTCCTCTGGGGCAAACCTTTGCTCTTCCTCTTGCAGCACAAACTGAAGGTGCATTTCACAATTTCTGTTGTTGATTTCAAGCAGATTATTTTTGTGCTGGTACTGGGGCTTGAACTCAGGGCCATATGCTCTCTCTTGGCTTTTTCTGCTCAAGGTTAGTGTTCTACCACTGGAGTCACAGCTCCACTTCTGGCATTTTGCTGGTTCATGGATGACAAGAATCTCATGGACTTTTTTCTGCCTGGGCTTCAAACCTGGACCCTTACCCTCAGCCTTCTGAGTAGCTCAGATTACAGGTGTGAGTCATTGGTGCCCAGCTCAAGCAGTTTTATCGTTTTGTTGTTTCTGACAGTTTTGTTTGTTTGTTGGCCGGTTGTGGGGCTTGAACTCTGGGTCTGGGCACTATTCCTCAGCTCCTCAGCACAAAGTGAACACTCTTACCACTTGAGCCACAGAGCTACTTCCGGTTTTCTCATGATTAATTAGAAATGAGTGTCTTATGACCTTTCCTACCAGGGCTGGCTTTGAACTGCGAGCCTCAGATCTCAGCTTCCTTAATAGCTAGGATTACAGGCGTGAGCCACCCGCACCCGGCTTGTTGTTTGTTTGTTTCTGGGAAGTCTTTTTTTTTTTTTGGGTCCGGTCATGGGGCCTGAACTCTGGGCCTGGGCGCTGTCCCTCAGCTCTTCAGCTCAAGGCGAGCG